TCAAATTTACATACCAGACCTAATTACTGCCTTGCATCTTCTAAACAAAGGAAATATATCGACGAGGGGGATAAGAGATCAGATAGAAAATACAGGACGGCCACCATGGCTCGGGCAAATAAGGAGAAAAGGTCGTCTAAATGATAAATGGAAAGGATGAGCAGAAGTACGACATCCTTCACATGTCTGCCTGATTGATAAAGAAGAAAAATCGCTCATACCAACCAAAAACAAACGCTGCAGGATTATGTCATATCTCCGCCGGGTGCAAAAGTGATTGATGATCACTTAATCTAGACCAGGTCCCTCTTGACGAATTCGGCCAACAGGGCCTTGCCAAGAGCAGCGGGACTTCTCTCGACGATGACACCAGCCTTCTCCAGAGCAGAGATCTTCGAGTCGGCACCACCCTTGCCGCCGCTGACGATGGCACCGGCGTGACCCATACGGCGGCCCGGGGGAGCACTGATACCAGCAATGAAACCAACAGCAGGCTTGTTGTACTTGTTGTTGGCCTTGAGGAACTCGGCGGCGTCCTCCTCAGCGCTACCACCGATCTCACCGATCATGATGATACCATCAGTCTCGGGGTCCTCGAGGAAGATCTTCAAGCAGTCGATGAAGTTGGTTCCGGAGAAGGGGTCACCACCGATACCGACAACCAGAGACTGACCCAGACCGGCCTGGGTGGTCTGGTTGACGGCCTCGTAGGTCAGGGTACCGGAACGAGAGACGATACCGACACGGCCACGCTTGTGGATGAATCCGGGCATGATACCGATCTTGCATTGACCCTAGCGCATCAAATAACACCAGATGTTATTGCCAGGGATCACTAGTGGCTTTGGCTTGGGTACTTACGGGAGCAATGATACCAGGGCAGTTAGGACCCACAAGACGGGTCTTGTTCTGCGTCTTCAGGATGTCCGTGATACGGACCATGTCTGAGCACTCGTTTATCAGTCTTCCGACCCGAACAGGCATCTAAAGCGCTCGCTTATCTAAGAGAACATACCGTGCTGAGGGATACCCTCGGTGATACTATATCAAGATCAGCGGCCAACCCACTTTCCGAAAGTTCAACAAGGTACGTACCAGACAGCCAGAGGAATTTCGGCCTCGATGGCCTCCTCGATACCCTTGGCAGCCAATGGGGGACTGCAATCATTAGCACCTCGCATGTGCATGTTCAATCCACCAACACCGGGTCCTTACGGAACGAAAAGCGCAGTAGCAGTGGCGCCAGTCTCCTTCACAGCCTCGCTCACGTTGGCGAAAACGGGTCTGTCGAGGTGCAGGGATCCGGCCTTCTTAGGGTTGGTTCCACCAACGACCTTGGTGCCTGGCAGTTGTGAGTTTCGCATACGTGACCATTTAGAGGCTTCTTTTCCGCTTGGCGCCTGCGCAGATGGGGGTAAAGGGAGGGATTGGAAAGATTAATACCGTAGGCGATGGCTTGCTCGGCATGGAAACTGCACCCGGACGGGAAAAAAGCAACGTCAGCGATATATCCTTGACAACCTTTCCAAAATGGAACAAAATACGTACGTTCCCTGCTTTCCAGTGAAACCTTGGAAGATCACCTTCGTCTCCGAGTTGATGCGAAGGTTGTTAACGGTCTCAGAGTAGATGGGGCTAGCTGAAGCTGCGTATCCCCGGCGCTGCGTGGCAGCAGCATTGCGAAGAGCAGAAGCGGTGTTACGGCGGAAGGCCTGCATTTTGGCTGGGAGAAAGAAAAAGGAACCGGGGAAGGAGAAAAGAGAGGAGAGGGGACGGAGATAAAGACGCACTCGAAAAGGTATGAGTGGTTTTAGGAGAGGGGGAGGGAGAGTTTGAATTAGGAGGGTATACAGGAGCAGAGGGAAGAGGCCGGTTCAGAAACGCGATTTGGGAACTTTCGGGACAAAGCTTTAAGCGGATCCGAATTGTCACGGGCGGTCGGTCGGTTTTCTCCCTCACTCACTTTACATTCATTACTTACTACGGAGACTCAACCAACCAACCTGTGGCACCCTCGGTCCTCCCGCTTTTTTTTCCCTTTCCCTTCCACGCTTGCCGCGTGCCATACCCGGGTCACAAGTCACCACTCACCTCTTTTCCAGTTGTTATTCCCATCCAACCATTATAATTATCGCTCACTCCTTAAATTGTACTTTTGATTGAACCCGAGCGAACGGCCATCACGGGCGCAAGTGTTACCGCGCATCTGCCTCTCTGGTCGCTTCTAATTCGAAAATAACTTCCGCAACCTCATTTGGCGACCGTCGACCGTCGACCGTCGCCCGCATCTCTAACCCACGATGGCGACCGTCACTATGACTATGCCGCCACCATCCTCGAAGCCCAAGAAAAATGCCAAACTTCCCTCGGAGAATGAACGGTTCATGCGAGCTTGTTCTGATATTGCGAATGCTCTAATTCAGGACCATGAATCGCAGAGGGATCCCACGAAGCCCCGCAAAGATATCAACCTCAACAAGCTGCGGGGTCAAATCGCCAAAAAGCATGCCTTGTCCACTCAACCCCCTCTGACAGCCATCATCGCGGCAGTTCCCGAGCATTACAAGAAATATATCCTTCCCAAATTGATTGCCAAACCAATCAGTATGTTGTTTCGTGCCTTTATGAGGCATGCCGTCCGCATATACTAAACAGTTGCCGCTAGGAACCTCCTCCGGTATTGCCGTCGTCGCCGTCATGAGCAAACCCCACCGCTGTCCCCATATCGCATACACGGGAAACATTTGTGTCTATTGCCCCGGTGGCCCCGACTCCGATTTCGAGTATTCCACACAGTCCTACACTGGCTACGAGCCCACCTCGATGCGCGCTATCCGTGCCCGCTATGATCCTTTCGAACAGGCTCGAGGGCGTGTTGACCAGATCAAGTCCCTCGGCCACAGCGTTGATAAGGTGGAATATATCATCATGGGTGGAACGTTCATGTCTCTTCCGGAAGACTACAGAGAATCTTTTGTGGCCCAGCTGCATAATGCTCTGAGTGGCTATCAAACAGACAACGTCGACGAAGCGGTGCAGGCCGGTGAGATGAGTAACATCAAGTGCGTCGGTATCACCATCGAGACCCGTCCGGACTACTGTCTCGACACCCATCTGAGCAGTATGTTGCGCTATGGCTGCACGCGACTGGAGATTGGAGTCCAGAGTTTGTACGAGGATGTTGCCCGGGACACGAACAGAGGCCATACTGTCGCTGCGGTGGCGGAAACTTTCAAGCTCGCAAAGGATGCTGGCTTCAAGGTAGTCAGCCATATGATGCCCGATCTGCCCAATGTGGGCATGGAGCGCGATCTCTTCCAGTTCCAGGAATACTTTGAAAACCCAGCTTTCCGGACCGACGGTCTGAAGCTCTACCCCACCCTTGTCATTCGTGGAACCGGTCTCTACGAGCTATGGAGAACTGGTCGGTACAAGAACTACACCCCGAACGCGCTGATCGACCTCGTCGCCCGTATTCTTGCTCTGGTGCCCCCGTGGACTCGTATCTACCGTGTCCAGCGCGACATCCCCATGCCGCTCGTCACTTCCGGTGTCGAGAACGGCAACCTGCGTGAGCTCGCCTTGGCCCGTATGAAGGACTTCGGAACGACTTGTCGCGATGTCCGGACCCGAGAGGTGGGTATCAATGAGGTCAAGAACAAGATTCGACCTTCGCAAGTGGAGCTGGTTCGTCGGGACTACTACGCCAATGGGGGCTGGGAGACCTTCCTGGCCTACGAGGACCCCAAGCAAGACATCCTGATCGGACTTCTGCGCCTCCGCAAGTGCAGCGCCACGCACACCTTCCGCCCCGAATTTACCGGCCAACAGACAAGTATTGTCCGGGAGCTGCACGTCTACGGCTCGGCTGTCCCCCTCCACGGCCGTGATCCCCGCAAGTTCCAGCACCGTGGATTCGGCACCTTGCTCATGGAGGAGGCTGAGCGGATCGCCCGTGAGGAGCATGGCAGTCAAAAGATCAGTGTCATCTCCGGAGTCGGTGTCCGCAGCTATTACGCTCGTCTGGGTTACTCACTGGATGGCCCGTACATGTCCAAGACGCTGGACCTCATTGAAGATGAGGAGTTCTTCTGATGTTTCCACGGGTGATATCGCTGATGTTTTCATGATCCCATAATGCCTCTATACAGAAAGAATTCCCGAGGTCTGTATTATATCTCCAAAAGTGCTTGTTTTATCTGGGCCATGGGTTGGTCCGCGCATCGGGGCGTTCCAAGGAGTGTTGTTCGAAACGAAAAGCGATCTACGGCGGCTGTGTGTTTTTTCTTCCCTTATACACCTTACATATTTTTGGCTAGGTTTTAAGAGCGACGTGAACGGCCTACTTGTTCACAGGGGTGCCAATGACCTAAAGTATGCGTTGTTGTATCTAATCAGAAAAGAAAGAGGCGGGTATGGAATCTATACTTCTACAACACTAACGCATAAGCGGTGGTTTATAAAGGACTTGTCCAATCGCTGGTTGGATAGGATGCTGGGGAGATCCATAAGCAGGGGCAGAAGTAAGTAACCAACACGAAAGCAGCAACGCGCGCTCTTTCACAGGACTAAACGTACGTACTATATACAGACATACCATACACCATCTTCATGGGTCTATGAAGAATAAACAAGCGAACAAAATCACCAAAAAATAGAGTGAAAAGAGGATCGGGCACTTCGCTCAAGGAAGAAGTAGATAGCGGCGGATCTGGTGCCCTTCTCCTGCCGCCGAGGACCGGAAGCAAAGCAAGTCAAATCGCCTACTGTGCCTGTAAAGCAAGGCAGCTCGTGATTCAATCTTCTACCCCCCTCCCCGCGAGAGGCAGATGCCACACAGCCACGCAACTTCTTTGTGGAGGGGGGGCGAACGATGCAGCAGCCAGCGCCTAGATCAGAAAGAACCATGATCCTCCCCCCGGGGATCCGGACCCGACAAAGCAAGCCCACACGCAGTTGTAAACGACGTTCATTTCGAGATAGGGATATAAAAACAAAAACACGGTAGTATAGGGCGGGAATAAGGTTTGTGGAAGACACATAAGAGCAGGGGGTTTTTTTTCCTCGGAACCACCGGCCGGGTGTAGTGGATTTAGCTCAAAGAGATGGCGCCGCCCCTGCGGCTTCTCGTGTGCAGGTAGGCCTGGAAGGCGCAGAATACGAAGAATGCCTGTAGGAAGAGAGAAAGGACCGTACGTTAGCATCTGTCATGACGGATTCTCTGTTGCCTGGGTGGGATCATGGATGCGGGTGGGAACGGAACGTACGACGTATACAAGGACAGCGGTGTAGATGGAGGCAGCGACTGCGGCGCCATTCTCGGGCTCTTCTTCACCGCCGGTGAAGCTGTGGTGTTCTCTCTGTTTGTGTCAGGGGGTTAGTCATGGCGGTTTGTTTGAGCGGGGGTGTGAAGCGGCTGGAGTCTCGTGGGAGGAAGTTGTGATAAAGGTGCCATACTTGGAATAGCGATCCGAGGACTGAGAGAATGACGATGGCGAAGAGAGATATGACCACGCTGGAGAGATTCGGTCAATTATCTCGAATGGTACACTGGAGGTGATGTTTGAGAGGTCTGAATTTACCAGGACCAAGCGTTCATCAAAGATACGACGGGCTTCATCTTGTTGGCTGAAGAGGGGGCGATAGCGTTCGAAGGCTGACGATACGGAAGGCAGAAGGGAGGGTGGAGCGGGCCGGTCAAGCTGTATAAAGATAGGCGGAAGGTAGATATACTCTGGTATTGTGTGGAAGCTAATTTTAAAACAAGCAAGACGCAGACAGATGAAGGGAGTGAGTTGAAATTGTCCCAGGGCTGAGATTCAGTTGGAGAAGCTGTGATGTCGACTAGGAACTCGGCGGTGCCGGTGCGGTGCTGGTGCGGTCACCGCTAAGCCGCTTTCGGCACTGACGGTCTTTCCGGCTGTCTCGACCTGCGACGGATGGCCGCGTCATTCCACCAAGGAAGTGGGATGTAGACGAAGGTATATATATATATACCTAGTATTGTATATATGTCTGCTGGTGGTAAACTACCACGGTCCGTTGAAGATAACAATATTCTTTGCGAATATTCCAGCTTGGGGTAACTATTAATGGTAAAATGAAATGTTGCTTAGTAGTATATAATTTCAAGCAGCCGAGCCGCCTAAAGTGCGTATATGTACATGTGCTCCGACAGAATAGATTATCCTTGATCTGGGAGGTGTTTCCCTGGATGCCCACTCAATGCGACTTGTTCCATTCTATACATTCATCGAACGTTACCCCAGAGCCCCCAAAGATGTCCAAAGCACTTCCAATGGTCAAATCAACTCTCCCCTGACTGCTGGCATGAACCATTTCCAAATCCTGCAAACTGCGAGCGCCACCGGCATAGGTGACGGGAATTGTGCACCACTGGGCTAATTTGGCGATGAGCTCTTCATCAACACCCTGCTGCAGCCCCTCTACGTCAGCGGCATGGATGAGAAACTCGGAGCAGTAAGGTTCCAGCAATGAGATCGACTCTGCTTCAGTTAGTCTTACAGCCTGGCTCAGACAGAAGCAAAACGGTAGCTCAGGGACTGCAATCGCCAGGCATATTCCACGCCTCTCCGCTCCTGCATCTTGAGACACGAGCAAGGATGGGCGAGAGAGCTAATGGAATTCATGGGCAGGAACTTGCCTTGGTTGATCTCCATCTCGGTAATGGTCTGCCAGCGGTTCATGGCTACAAACCAAGTGTTGTCCTTTCTACGGCAACTCAAATCCAAGACCAGCTTTGATCGATCGCCTCCAAGGGTAGAAAGAACGGATTCAAGCCGTTCCTTCGAGAACTTGCCCTCTGGAAAGAGGAATGATGTAATGATCACCTGCGAGAACGGGTCAGTTATGACAAGGCTGCACGTTGCTGGTACCAGAGACAGTGAGATCCAGACGCAAAAAAATGGAGTAAGATCAATCCAATCAAATACCTGCAGCTGAGCTGCAGACTGGATTTACGCTGTGAGACAGCAAGCGCAGGCACAAAGGCTTACCTTCTCGGCACCCTGGTCAATCCAGTACTGAGCGTTCTTATCGGTGATCCCTCCAGCCACTTGCAATCCGTTAGGCCAGGCTCGAAGTGCCTCATGCGCTGCCTCATCGTTGCCTGGGCCCAGCATCACGACATGCCCGCCGCGCAAATCGTGCTTCCGATATAACTCGGCGTAATGACCGGCGGGGAGCTTGGAGACATAATTCGTCTTCAGATCGGCAGCAACATTGCTTAGGGTTCCGCCCACAATCTGCTTGACTTGCCCCGAGTGGAGATCGATACAAGGGCGAAATTTGGTCATTTTGAGTTCAAGGATTTGTTCAACGCCTTCTTGGAAATGTCGCGGCGCGCTACGAACTCGATTATAATCGGTGAAATCCAACGAGGGGTCGGACCTATCTTATCGCACGTGACATCATGCGATAACGGCTGACATAAGCACGTTTTGCGGCTAGTCTTCTCAATCGCATGGGCCTTTTTTTTTCTCTTGACTTTTCTATGCTCTAGTTTTTGGGTTCCCAACGCACACTCATACAAGGATCGATAAAGATGATTGGGAAACGGAAGAGGGGCACGGCCGTTGTGTCGAGAGCTACAACTTCAGATGACGAGGCCACGCCGCAGACAACTACCGAGTCCTCCCAGGACATTTTCCGCAAATTCTTCGAAGCTCAATTCCAACCGTTGGATGTACCTGGAGGTCAGGTGTCCCGCCGTGATGATTCAGAAGACGAAAGCGACGAGGAAGACTTGGAGGCTTCCGATGCTGAGTCGGATTGGGATGGTATGAGCGGAGACGAAGAGGAACCAGAGGAGGTTGAAGTAATTGAGCATCGGGACGTAAAGTCCCAGGACTTGATGGACAAGAAAGCTCGCAAGGCCTTCATGGTAAGATATACTTGGTGGCCCATTGAAATTGAGTATCCTAACGCTGGTACAGACCGCCAAACCGCCATCCTCAATCTCTGAGCGAACCACGGCCAAAACGCCGAAGAAAGATACCGAGGATGACAACGATGACACCGAAATTGATGCGGACCATCTGAAAAACGATCTCGCACTGCAACGTCTCCTAAAGGAATCCCACCTTCTCGACTCAGCGTCCGATCTTGCTCCAACTGGCAAGAATCGCATCAAGGCTCTTGACTTGCGGATGCAGGAACTAGGATCTAAAGAGTCCTTGTACAAGCAAATGATGCCCTCTTCTCACCGGAGAGGCATCAAAGCCAAGGCCGAGATGAAGGAAAACAAGCGTCGGAAGGAAGCCAGAGAAAACGGAATTATCCTCGAAAAACCGGCACCGAAGTCGAACACCAGCAGCGCCAAACGGCGAGAACGTGGTGTTGGAGGGCCCTCCGTCGGAAAGTTTGCAGGCGGAACTTTGAACCTGAGCAAACATGACGTAGCCGCTATCCAAGCATCAGGCCGGTCAAGCAGCAGAGGCAGAGGCAGGGGCGGTGGCAGAGGCAGAGGCAGAGGCAGAGGCAGAGGACGTCGCTAGTTGTCGATTCTGGCCCATGACACCTGACAACTACGCATGACATGCATCGCGTCCAAATTCCCTTCGAATCTCTTGCACTCAAAACACGCTACCGCTGTGCATAGTGCCTCCGGCTCGGGGCGTACTGTATGCTTGCCTCAGTATCGATTATCGGCGAAGAGAGGGGCTGTAGTTGCTTTCGACCACGCGAGTGGCCTCGAACTGCGGATCTGTTTCACCAGCTCGCCTTGACCCCTATTTGCGAGAACGAACGCCTCCATTGACGGCATGATAGGATGTTTCCAGTTTTCCTGACTCGCGCCAAGTTGGAGGAATGACAGAACCCTCACCGCAACTCCTCTCGTATTGAGTGCACCTGGATGGTGCGGACGTTCAGTCTGCGACGTTGAGTCTACTATCGAACTCCTAACTTGATCGCACAAACCTTATTCTGCCCACCCTTGGACCGGGGCTGCGAAGCACGTACCCTTAGCGTGGGAGTGTTCCAGATATGGCGAATTCTCCGAGTTGAGCTAATGTTTGAGAAGGGGGACCCCCAGACCTGAGACAGATCGCTTCGTTTAGCATGTTTGGGGATTCTCAACATGCATGGCGATAAAGCGAAAGCCGCTCCCCAGTGGTTGACTCCAGTCAGTCACATTGCGCTAATCTACAAACACTTGAATGAAGCATGATCACGCGTTGACTTTTCTTCCTGAAATTCTTATCACGGGTAAAAAGGGTAAAAATAGAACAAGTGCGGGTTAGTAGTCAGTGGTCTAGCAGTTTAGTATAGGAGTAGTTCAAGCAACGCTGCTCTAACGAATTGGAAATTAGGAATATCCAGGTTAGACTTGCATTGGCAGTGTGATGCAATAGTACGAGCCTCGCCAACACAATGTAGAGATGAAGGTTCTCTCCCTCTTGAATTGGGGGTTCTCTTTTGTCTGTTTGTTTGTTGACTCTAGTCGATTTGGCCTATTTCTCTTCTAGCTTAGTTGGGGCATTTTTACCCCTATTTTTTTTTCTCTTTTTTTTGGTTCCTCGGGAGGGGTGGAAACTTCAGACCAGGGCTGAATGGGGAACCAAGGAGAAATCGAACATCCGATGATATGATTGAGTTTCTTCTTTTTTTTTTGCGGTTCTGTGGTATGACTAGTGGTGACGAGCTGGTTTATGGATAATTGTTCCTGGATTCCCCACCGGAGACAAAGCAGTTCAAGTTCCTTTTCAGTAGTGTTCACCCACTGTGTGCCCACTGCCGGAGAGGGAGGGGGGGGGGTACCTGCATGAAGGACCTGACAATAATAGGTTTAGTGCGTTGGGGAATCGTAGGGGTAATGATGGGAGTGGGAATTTTTCTTCCCACCGACGCCGTAACCAGGGATGACGGAACTACTAGTCAGGCACAATATGTCTACCAGTCGATTGTGATTTGTTCAAGTCAACGCTCGACTTTTGGGACGACTATGGGGAGGGCTGTTGGATCGGTCTCATTAGTCAGTCACTTAGTATTGAAACTGGAAAGAAGCCCCGGCCATGTGCGAAGTTCCGCAGGAAACAAGAGGAAACAAAAGAGCCGGGAGGAAGGAAAAAACGACTCCATCCAGGGCTTGCTCGTCGTCGTTTCAGATTCTGCATGTAACCCAATTCTGAGCAGGGCACCAACCCCATCAGAGCTCGAAGAACGTGTCGCCTTCTTACTGCTACTACTATTACGATGACTATAGAATTCGAATGGCACGGAGGTTGACTAGCAGAAAGGGTCAGGAAAGCAAAGGAATTGTTGCATTTTGTTTACTGAGTAGCTAAGTGCAGGCACTTTTTCGTCACAGGGATCCACCAAAGATTAAGAAAAAGGAAAAAAAAATTGAAAGAGAACGGACTCGGGTCACTCTAGATTTTTTAGACTCTGGATAGTCGAGTAAATAGTATCGGTGGTCCTACCAGACTGACCTATACCACCCATCAACTAAGACACAACCGATACACCAAAAGCACCTCGGCGTTCAGCGATATGTCAAAGCATGCGTAATGATTAGCTACATGGTGATTCTATACCATCTTCATCGTTTTTGAAGTTCGTTTGACCCAATACAAACGACGTATCGAGTATCGCTAGTTCTAGTAGGGAGCCGGCTTGATTCATGGTCTAGTCTAGACAGACGGGAGGAAATCCGATGGTTTCACGGGTTGACCTGCCGGATCTCCAGTCGTGGTGGTTGAAAGGAATCTGGTCCGTCCATTGCAACGCCGAGGTTTACACGAAGGGGGAACAATGGCGCTGATCAGCCAGCCCCAGTCCGACGTATCCGATTCTCCCTGTGAGGTTATTCGATATCCCCCGTACTGCGTTGCTTGGCCCTCACTTAGCCTGGCCAAGATGGCAACAGACCGGCCTGCTTTCCGTTGCTCGTCTGATCCACGAAACAATGCCAACTTTGGCATAGCAAGCCATACAGGTCTCCGGAAGAACGAAGGTGCTGCTGCATGCTATCGTGGCGAAATAGCTTCCGGGACAGGTCTTCCATGACGTAGTCTGGCGAGAAGTTATCGTACCGTATACTGCCCTGATGAAATGCTCATAGCAACATTCGCAAGTCTAACGGCAGGTGCGCCTCGACCTCCTCCCCCCCACCCACGTTCTCAAGAGATCAAGTCATATACGAGTATGTGTTGACAGTGCGCCTTGCTCGCTAACTACTAGGTAGCCTCATCTTTGGATCAGTCGATGCTCTAAATCGAGAACGGAAGGCAGATACAGCATCTTGCAACTTACCCGAATATGGACCAAGCGCTGACCCATACTCTCTAAGTTAACTTATTAGATATGAGTAATGGGAGGCTTTAGCTTCCGAAACCCGAGAGTGAGCCTCGTCGCCTCGTCGCGACTCGCGAGGTTTTCATAGCAGTGACATGCTGTCGCTGGACTTTTCCAGATGGGTTCTCGGGGTTGGACGATCAAACAAAGACTCCGTTGCGCGGAGCAGGCCAAGATCTCCTGGACTGTACATAGTAAGATCAATTTTCTGTCCCGGGCACCGATGTTTACCGTCCACAGTCCACAGTCCGCAGTCCACAGTATCCGTAGCTGTACGGAGACAGTATCCATAGTTGGCGCGGGTTGTTTTGGTCCAGGACGGCGGTAATTTATGGTTCCAGTCCCGTCCGCCGAGAACCCGGTAGAGTCAGGTACAATTACCAGATTGGGCTTGGTAGCAACGGACCTTTCAAGGTCTAGAAGAATTTTCTCCATTAGGAGAGCTTCGCTGCTAACCTAACCTAAGCAAAGTCCAGGGAGGCTAGGAGTTTAGGACCTCCTCGTCGCTCCACTGCTCCATACGCTGGGCCGTACCTCGCCTTCATCGCATCGTGTCGCTGCGCAAAGAGAAGGCCTCTTTCTCCCGCATATGCCCTCTGCCCAGAACTTATCCTCCTCGCCTCTTCTCTCCCCGTCGGGAGATCACTATCCGCGCACTCCGGCGAGTGTATGTACATACGTACTACGTAGTTCTCTATAGGGCTCGCCCGGGAACCTCGGTGATCTCCCAATGTAGCAATCAACACCCGCCTGCAGGCTTTTAGACTCCTGATCACTGGGTCATCGGAGAATTCTTCTCGGAGGGTCAGTACGTAGGTATTCAATAGTGGGCTTAGCAAAGGGTCTTTTGCCACTGATCCCGGACAACGACAACGCTTTGATGTTGGTCAGGACTGTCTAGATTCCCCCCCTGGATTGACGGACTCTGACCCCAACAGCACGGTACCCCCTCGCCCTCCTCAATGCTCTGTACGTTTATACGTATGTGCCAGTGCAATTGATGATCACTTCGGCCGAGTCAGTGGAGTGAGTGTGACTGGAGAGATGAATCTTACATAATTAGGGACAAGCCAATGAGGACGAAGCAGTACTGCACTATGACGATACTCCCCCTGCTAAGGTGTCGACCACCTACCACGAAAAATCCTTTGGCTGCCGCCCGTGATGCATATCAAGCCACTTCTCCGAAAAGATCATGTACTGACAAAGCTCGAAATCTCGCATTGATCTATCATATCTCGGAAATGGCCACCAATTCAGATGGCCAAATCAGAGTGCTCTGTGATTAAGCTTCGCCGTTTGCCGGTCAATCTTTCGGTTGTGCAGATCAGTCCCCGTTGATGTTCAAGATATCCAACGTCGTGCTTCTGACGACGATGCTCTGGTTCCGAGTGACATGCAAAAGAACAAACCACGAACCCCCCCCTTTTTTTTTATTTGGTATTTCTGCAAGCCATGCTTGGTCAACTTTCCGCCCTCCTTGTCGATGCCAGATTGGACAGGAAGAGGGGGATTGAAACCCAATCTTGATAGATAGCCGGGCGTGTCAGTCTTCCGCTTCGGCTTCGAGTTGCGAGAATAATGAGTGCACAGAACGGGTGAGCCAAGATTTGAAAAAGTCCAGTGGTGAATAGATCACAAACCCATGTGATTACAGCCTTATGCGCATGGTACGGGCAGGTTGCACACGGACCAAATTTATGTGTCTCAAAAATGAGCTTGGATAACCCCCCCTCCCCCCATGGTATGCTATTTTAATATAACTACCCCGTAGATCGACTGCTGGTATATGAGGTTAATGGCAGTGCACTTTATTACGATGCGCGAAGCCCAAATGTTACGCATTCCATGCTATAGGAAATCCCGGCGATTATGGCCTGATGGCCGACCTACGAGTGTGCGCGGATTGTACAGTCCAGTACCCCTTCTGGGCCTCTGATCTACTCCTCGGAGACGCGACATTGGTCTGCCTTGATGATTGATCATGCCCCCCCCCCCCCCCCCCCCAAAAAAAAGATCGAAGGAAGAGACAAGAAGATAGCTTTAACTATGGTACTTACTCTTAAGAGCCAGGTTGTTGAATCATAAGTGGCGTCGTTTGGCGCTGCCGCTTGGTCGCTTCTTACACCATATCTGGACGAGTAACAGGAGATGGACCGTTCAAGAACCTGGCCCATAAGTGGCTATAATTACAGCATGGGGTCCATGCAAGTTTAAGGAGATAGACCATTACAGACCTAGCTACTGAGTTGAGGAAATCAGCACCCACGAAAGCTGGGGCAATCGATAGGAGAGACAGCTGGTCGATGTACCGTAGAAAGAGTCGACAGACTCTTGCGAGACCCAACAATACTCTATTGCCCCCATTCCCGAGTTCACGTAAGAACTATTTCCAGTTGTGATCCAAACATAAGCGAGAGTAGAAGTCCTTCTTTTGCTGCCTGCTCGGATGCCCGCAGATAACTCTGCATTGTGCATGCAAAATGTCCGACTACCAGTACAGTACTCCGTACAGTACATACTCTTGGTGTCTCTGAAGGGTGGCAGTCAGATGCCGGCAGATAGATGATCACCGACGACGATAATCATAGAGCATTGACCGTGTCACAGCACTGCCATTATCTGCTGCGCTATTACATCGCATCACATAACATAGCCGAATGGAGATGGTTCACGGCTAACTATAGTGTACAGTACTTTACAGTACAAATGCTATTTACAGCCTGGAGGGGGCGGGTTGGGAGGGGAAATAGAAGAAGGGGGAGGAGGATGAGAAGGAGGAGGAAGTCAGGACACGGCAGGGTAGGCAAGGGCACGGACCGAAATCAAATGTCTGTGAGCCTGTGAGGAGCAGGACTGAAAGGTGGTGGGCACTTGGAACCTTGAACCTGAAGACGGACTCGACGCCTGCTCAATTCCCATTTATGCCCATGGGGGATATTCTCATTCTGGATTGGGCCATTGGGGGCCACTGAGAGGCTGAGACGAGCATCGCAAGCAGCCTGGAGTAGCCGTGCGGGCCAAAGGGATTACACCTTACCTGCTATTGGTGGGAAGTTAAGCGCTTACCCTGAAACAAGGGGGCGAATGCTTCACGATTGTTTCCCGCGCTAGTTTTATCGGGGGGAGTGAGTGAGTGTTCAGTGTTCAGTGTGTGCAGTCTTGTCTTGGCTTGGCATGGATGGGGACTTTGGTTCCACTCTGCGCAGCGCCGTTAGATGATTTGCTCCCTCGACTGCTTGCAGCTAGCTAGGTAGCTATAGAGGTACTGGACTGGACTGTACCCTACTACGTAGTGACAGCATGTTTGTTTTCCCTGCCCCGAGAGTCAGTCAATCAGTCCGTCATCTTAGCCGCCGCGGTGAACAGTTTGCTGCGTGTGGGGACCGAAAGGGGGAAAGAGAGGCAGAGGTGATGAGGCAGGAAATGCTGGAATTGGCCCCCCAGGAAGCGCCCCCAAGAAAGGTTGATTGATGCAGGAGCTGTCAGTTATGCATGTATGTAGACATATCATCCACACAAGCTTGGTTTTCCCTTGATGATCAATCCCTCATCTCTGAAGATTGCACATATAGTACTATGAGTTACTATGCGAAGAATCCCGTGCTTGCTGTGATAAGCGAATTCCTTCCCCATAAATCTTTCTCAGTAGCGAGATGAGGTATCAAGATCAGGTCTTCCCCTCATTTCTACAAGGTAAGTAGGCGGTTTTAGCTTCCCCCCAATTCTAGTACCCGTGACTTGTGATGCATACTTCTACTACAAGGTATGCAGTCTACGATCTCTCGGACATAGGCCATTGCTAGGAGTAGGAAGCTCATAAGCCCACCACAGAATAGTGGGTTAATATCTGCCATTTTTCGATCACTGATCTTGTATGTTCAGTTTGTTGCCCTTGAGTTGGCTCTCCGTTGGCCGACTAGTAGGGCCCGGCAAATACGAGGACTGTTTGCTCGCCATGAGGAAGTCGAGAACATTGGCAGT